GTTTAACATCAGCTGATTAATATGTCTAAACGAATGTTGCGTACCTGATTTGATTAGTTCTGGTTGGTAATAGACTTTGATTACACGACAAAAATATGTATGATAAAAGTCATTTTAAATATTATTTAAATTTTTTGAAAAAAATTTCAATAATACTTTAATCAAATGTTTTGAATAATACTTTAAGGTATCAAAAAATATATTTATATCTTTTAATATATTCTTTATTTAATAATCAGATATAGAAATTTTTAAGAACTTTGAACGTATAGATATTGAATTACGTCGAAGGAAAGACTCTCCAGAGATTTAAGACTTTGAAGAGAGAAGACTTTCTTCTCAAGAGGAAAGATTTACAAACTTCAATACAGAAGGTTTCGATTAATATTTGAAATGGACAGTTGAAATTTTTTATATGATAAAATTATTATAAAATTGAAGGAAGAATTTGTAAAACAAGCCGTTATTTAATATTTAAAACATTGAAAAATTGTTTTTTGTAATATTTTTAAACAGTAAATACATTAAAGATTGTAAAAAGAACATAAAACTTTTATTTAGAAAATAAATTATAATTAGAATTGTGTTTAAAATCTAAGGATGATTTATTCAGTAGATATTTATTCAAGAGATAATAATTCAATAGACACTGAAAATATGTTCAGATAAAAAATGTTATGATAATTTTTAATTATATGTGGAAAAACAATTTTAAATTGTGTTAAAAAAAATTTCACCAATTATACCATCCAGGATTTATTAATTCTTTTATTGCCTTTATGTTTATATCAAATTGTTTATTAATTTCGGTTATCGAATCTTAATTCATACAGTTCAAAGCATAATCCCCGTCAGATTATTGATAAGGCAAGTTTGTTTCGGAGGTCGATGGAGAGCGACCAGTCATGAAATTGTTTTATTCATGCTGTGCGGTGTGTACCACAGGCACTGTAATAATAGGAAATCATTTATATGTTATTTACATGCAAGGTTACAGAATTGTCAGGGCGTAGAGATTAATGTTTACTGGCGTGTATTGGCAGCTTGAGCACGACGGTAAATGTATGAGACTATACCCCGCTGCCGAATACATTTGAATAAAATAGAGAGAAACGCGCGCCGGTTGAAAGTATAAACGTTAGTCATGACACTACGAAAGACTTTACACATTGTACATGTATTGGTCCGAGTCTCTCTGTGTATTAAATTCTGACCGTTGTGTGCTGGATGAAAATGTAAAATCGCATAAACTACATCCGCTGGATATAATGTATGAAAATCTAATTCCATTTGACAGTCACAAAGCGATCTTGTCACAAAGTGACTTAAACCGTTGCAAATCGGAAGATGTATTTGCGCGATGTAAAATACGAGTATATAGTCATAAAGCAGTGTAGTTTCGAACTCATGAAGATTACAAATTATAATTAGATTAATTTGAATATCTCGTAAAATGTCTCTATCTCTGTCGCTTAAATGTGCCATTAGGACGTCTAGTTTACGAGATCACGAAATGTTTTCCGCTTCTCTCGTGCTGCTCCTTTTTCGCCTATCCGGCTATGCGGAAAACGACGAATCGCACATTCCACGCGCGCGTTATGCTTGCATTTTCCTCGCAAATGTTGGCGAGATTAGTTTTCGCTTCGAGCCAATTTCTGAAACTCATATTTACTGATTTACTCACATATTAGCGATACCGGCTTTCCTCACGGCCGAGCTGACAGCTTTTATGGCAGTCTGTATGCTATTCAACAGCTGTGTAAGATCACCGGTCGCTGTTGGCGCCTTGCGTTGCTCCGACAGCATGAATCTCGTCAACGTCATGCAGTCTGAGTCCATAATTGTGTTGTTCGATGTCATCATGACCGTATCTTTTCAAGCAACGGGCGGAACGAGAAATAAAGGCGTGTGAGACCTAGACTGTCCCGACGGAGACTGAAACCGGCGATTCCGAGGCGTCGCGTTATGTAAAGCCCGAGTTAATCAGTAATATGTTATCGCAACAATGAAGGCATTGATATTCGAGTATTTCGAGTTTCCGAAGCTCACTCTAGCGAGCTTCTTCTATGAGACCATAGGCCATAGGTGAATCTAGAAACAAAAGAGGGAGAGCCGCAAGCGAAATTGTTTTTTAATCAAATATGAAGAGGTAGAATACCAAATTATTATTTATATTATTGCATTGAAATGTATTATTTAAATTCACGAAACGTTTTATTTAAATTTATATTAACACAAAAAATAAATTTATATTTTTTATATCTAGGAGCTTTTTAATTAAAAAATATTTTTGAAATATCAAAATTGTGCTAAGCATCTAAGAAATATTAAAAATATATATAACATTTTGTTCTAAATATTTTTAAAAAAGAATATTCCAAGAGGGCGTGGATCTACCAGGAAGTGAGACTATTTTACGATCGACATTTGCTCGACCGCGAACGGTGATATGCGACCTAGTTCCGGTTTACAAAATTATTCTTGGAAATGCGTTTAAATAACGCGATATCATCAAGTGGGAAATGAGATCGTACTTATTTAATATTTGTTATTTCAAAAAAATATATAAATATATAGAGGGAATGCAATGAATACGTGGATTTGTAAACGCATTGCTCATGTTATATAAAATAAAACGTGGTAATCATTAGAGTTTATTTTTTGGATGGTTTGAAGTCAATTTTCGCATTGAGATTATAAGCTGCCATTGATTTACCTTTCCACGTTTCTCTCGTTCCACAAATTGATATTTTATTAATTCATTGACGCGCGGATGGTGAATTTTACACACATACATACACTCTTGTACCTATATACATGCTATATACAACATTATGTATAATATATAAAATTTGTTGAATTTAACGTGTCCGTGCATCAGTTAGTCACGCTTCGGTTTATAAAAGAGTAAATCCCTCGTGAAACCGATAATCGCATAAAATAACCGAACAATGACGTAGTTAATACGCAAATTTTATTCGGTAGTTATTCGTTGCTGGTTTTTTTCCCGTTTTATCTTATCCGGCTTGCTTTTTTCGCACATTATTTTCATCTCTGTAACACATGTAAATATATTCGGTTTTGTTACATACTATAGCCTTGTAAGCGAAAACTACAGAGAGGTGTAAAAAAAGTATTGCGGATTCACACACATGCACACGGCAGTATTCTATTATCCAATCGTATTATCGGGGTCATGTAAACCGGAACTAGGTCGCATTAAGATTCGTTTCGCCGATTATGCATTATCCTTCCATGCGGAAACATAGAGTGTCGCACGTCATTCGACGTAACGTAAGAATGATTTTATTGCTTCTCATCGCGAAGTGTAAATCGATTTTCGTACATTTGCACTCATACACATGTATACGGAATATCTTGGAATCCCAACTCATTTCAAATCTATTTCGAAGGCACTATTATACGATTATTTCGAGTTCAAATTAATTCCGGAATGCGTCTCGCGATAGATAAGGCCTGTAATGTCGTAGCTTTGTTGTAAATACTGTTATTACGCTATGCGAGCTAATTAAACTAAATGGTATATAACGAAATTAGTATCGCAACGATGTTAAATCGATCGAATCTGGTTCGCCTAAATAATGGCAATTTACCGACTTGAGTGTATACAATGATTGCCTTACGTTACACAAATTATTCATTCTTTTTTCTTATATAATTTTAGCTTTTTATTAGTGCACTTTATTAGTGCTATAAGCGATAAATATTTGTTAAAACAATCATCAACGTTAATAAATATTTTTTGAAATTTATTAACATTACAAATACGTATAAAATAATATACATATGTATATATATATATATATATATGATGATCCTGACAAGAAACTATTTTTTAAAAGTTTCTTATAAGGGTAAGGCAAGATTTTTTCATTGTAATATAAATCGTCGTGTACGATTCATTCCAGATTCCTAAGGTCATTAAAGATTACTGGTGAGATTCATGTACAAATTATATGAGATACTTATATAATCATGTACGTTCATTTAGTAATCTTAATTGATCACATACAACTATTTTAAGATCTGATGGTTCTCATCATCTAATGGTTACTCATATCCATTTGGGTTGATCCATTATAATAAAACGTTCTAAATGTTAAGAATTACAAATAACGATTCCATTACGTCAGGAATAAAATTATGATAAATTACAAGCATAAAAATGATGATATAAAAATTTCCTTCAATAAATTTATATTTTGATGTCTTTTGTATTAAACACTTTATATCTTATTAGTTCGTTAGATCATTCAAAGTATAAAGTGGAAAGGAAGATGCGAGAAGAGAACTGTTCTTTGTTTATACATACGAGATGTATATTCTTGAATAGCGATACATATGTATGTTCTTTTTATGATCAATGAAGCGATTTACACATATGATTGTTATATGTAAATGTCGAAAGATTTTTTTAATTTGAATAATGGATTGTCATATTTTGTATGATGTTTTTTGTATGATGTTTTTTTGTATAATGTTTTTTTTTATAAAAAAAAGTCAGTATAAACAGACCGCAGCATATACAGTTTATTATACATTTTTAATACTAGGTTATTAAAATGTATATCTGTTTATTCAGAAATAAAAAAAAATATACTTAAAGAAAATTAATTTCTTCAATATACACGATTATTTTATGACATTCTGTGATGAACCTTCCTTAATGAATTTAAGAAGAGACTATGTAGAAGCCCGCAGGATGTCTGTTGTATATGTACATATATATATATTTAGTAGATTATATGTTTCTTCTTCGTATGCGAAATAAGCGTCCAGCAGATTTAATTTTTCTGAACATAAACCTTTATAAGAGATATTTTGATGTTTTTCATAACAAAATAACATTTCAGTACTCTTGAATCAGCAGTTCCAGCAGATTTAATTTTTCTGAACATAAATCTTTATAAGAGATATTTTAATATTTTTCACAACAAAATAACATTTCAGTACTTTTGAACATGGGCAAAATACCTCTCGTTTCATCTTATCTGTATTTTAAATTTAACAATAAAATATTAATGCATAAAGTATATATTAATATCAATTTCTTTCTTCAATATATACGATTATTTTATGACATTCTGTGATAAAGCTCCCGTAATACAGTCAAGAAAAGACTATGTGGAAGTCCGCATGATATTTGCTGTATATGTCCTTTTAGTAGATTATATGTTTTTTTTTCATATGTAGAATAATGGTTCGGCAAACCAAGGTCAGTGAAAAGCTGTTTCACGCGTCTTACTTTTTCTGGATCCGCAAAACCGTAACATTCCTGCGTAATAAGAAAGAAAAAGAATTAGTACAAGAGCGTTTCACAAAATAACGCACGTTTAAATCAACGATACTCACTTCCAAAATTTTACGCTGATCCGGAGTGGCACGTTGAAGAGCTACAACAATCAGCCATGTACATTTTCCTTCTTGTATATCAGTATCATCCTTGCCATGGACATCGGACTCCCCATAGCAACCCAAATAATCATCTTGGACTTGGAATAAATGCCCTATTTCCAACAAAATGGTTTTTGCTTGCCTGAACATCTCTGGATCTTTTATTCCAGCCTACAAGTAACGCAATGCCGTATTATCATCAAAGCAATCTATCTTTTTGTGTATAAGAAAATTGCACTTACTAAATGCATTGCTACGATTATTGGCAAAATAAAAGAATAGTGCGATGTTTTGTACTCGATAAGGGAATTATATCGATTCATCGTGAACATATCCAGATCAGGTTTCTTGGTAAAAACCATGTCTAAACCTTGGCCTATATTTGTCTTGAATGTGATCTGTTGAAATACTTTCATATATAATTGTTCGATTAAAAAGGAAAAAAGTAGTTTACATAATGTGCGATTGGCAAGAACATATAGTATGTCTTTACTCACATCGTAGAATGTTTCTAATAGATTAATGTAATAATCTTTCCCTTTGAAGTATTTTTTAATTAGATAAAACGTAGCACACTCCAACAATAAACCATCATTAATTGCCGCTAGGCCTATATCATTATGTCGATACCAACATAGTTTGCCTCGGCGAAGTAAGGATTGGTCCTGTATATCGTCGATCACGAGAAAAAAGGCTTGCAACTGTGTAGCAATAAATGTCTTAATATTATAAATCAATCGTAATCGCAACATTTAATATTTTTAATTAAGATCATTTGTTCTTGTATAAAACATAGTACACTGCCTCTTTAATTTGAAGGTATAATATAAATTAAAATCTTAACTATATCTTGCATTAGATTCATTCGAATTAAAATTCATGAAACATATCGAGTCATAAAAAAAAGAAGAACAGAATTACCAATTCCAGACACCATGCCAGAATTCGTGCAAGACGAATATTTTCTTTTGTAAGTTGATCACTTGGTGCTAGTAATTTGTAGGCATAAATTAACGTAAAAGCACGAATTTTTTTTCCTTCTGGAACAGTATACTGTAATACCTGCATAAAGAAACATCAATCTATATATTTTTTAAATCCATGATTTATTGTTTCATATGTATCAAAACTTACAGGTTTTTTGAACTATTGGAAACTCAAGGTTTTTTTTTGTTTTTTATAAACCCTAAAATTAGTTCTATTTATTTAGACATTTTTCTTTAAGTTTAATTGATACGTTTATTATTAAATTTTGATGATGATTTATTTTTACAAATGTTGTACTATTCGAGACAAGAAGAGAGAGAGAGAGAGAGAGAGAGAGAGGGAGAGAGGGAGAGAATTTATATTTACGATTATAAAATTATTGCATTATTTTGCATTACTTCTACATATAATTATCCTAAAGGAATTTATCCTAAGATGAATCGATCAATCCATTGAACGAATTTTAACGTATCTCACACACATGTAACACACACACATACACATCCCACGTTGGCTATAATATTTATAATATTTTTTGTTTGACCATAATATTTATATAATATTTTAATTAATGATTTAACCTACTTTTTCCATCCATTTAGCAACATCCGGAAAGTTAGAATTCTCAATCTCTTCTATGATATCACGAACAATGTCCGGCCACATTGCCATCATCGATTGACTTTCCTCCTCGCTGATGGCTGCCCATATCGATTTGGATTGATCCATTATAATAAAACGTTCTAAAGTTTTAACAAACGTTAAAAATGACAAATGATTCCATTATGTCAGGAATAAAATTTGATAAATCACATGCAAAAAAACGATGAAATAAAAATTTCCTTCGTTAAATTTATATTTTTATGTCTTTTATATTAAACACTTTATATCTTATTACTTCGTTAGATCAAAGTATAAAGTGGAAAGGAAGATGCGAGAAGAGAACTAAAGAGAAATTATTCTTTGCTTAGACATATATATCCTTGAATAGCGATACATATGTATGTTCTTTTTATGATCAATGAAGCGATTTACACATATGATTGTTATATGTAAATGTCGAAAGATTTTTTTAATTTGAATAATGGATTGTCATATTTTGTATGATGTTTTTTGTATGATGTTTTTTTGTATAATGTTTTTTTTTTATAAAAAAAGTCAGTATAAACAGACCGCAGCATATACAGTTTATTATACATTTTTAATACTAAGTTATTAAAATGTATATCTGTTTATTCAGAAATAAAAAAAAATATACTTAAAGAAAATTAATTTCTTCAATATACACGATTATTTTATGACATTCTGTGATGAACCTTCCTTAATGAATTTAAGAAGAGACTATGTAGAAGCCCGCAGGATGTCTGTTGTATATGTACATATATATATATTTAGTAGATTATATGTTTCTTCTTCGTATGCGAAATAAGCGTCCAGCAGATTTAATTTTTCTGAACATAAACCTTTATAAGAGATATTTTGATGTTTTTCATAACAAAATAACATTTCAGTACTCTTGAATCAGCAGAATACCTCTCGTTTCATCTTATCTGTATTTTAAATTTAACGATAAAATATTAATGCATAAAGTATATATTAATATCAATTTCTTTCTTCAATATATACGATTATTTTATAACATTCTGTGATAAAGCTCCTGTGATAAAATCAAGAAAAGACTATGTAGAGGTCCGCATGATATCTGCTGTATATGTACTTTTAGTAGATTATATGTTTTTTTTTCATATGTAGAATAATGGTTTGGCAAACCGAGGTCAGTGAAAAGCTGTTTAACGCGTCTTACTTTCTCTGGATCCGCAAAACCGTAACATTCCTGCGTAATAAGAAAGAAAAAGAATTAGTACAAAAGCGTTTCACAAAATAACGCACGTTTAAATCAACGATACTCACTTCCAAAATTTTACGCTGATCCGGAGTGGCACGTTGAAGAGCTACAACAATCAGCCATGTACATTTTCCCTCTTGTATATCAGTATCATAATCCTTGCCATGGACATCGGACTCCCCAACCGACATAATCATTTTGGACTTGGAATAAATGCCCTATTTCCAACAAAATGGTTTTTGCTTGCCTGAACATCTCTGGATCTTTTATTCCAGCCTACAAGTAACGCAATGCCGTATTATCATCAAAGCAATCTATCTTTTTGTGTATAAGAAAATTGCACTTACTAAATGCATTGCTACGATTATTGGCAAAATAAAAGAATAGTGCGATGTTTTGTACTCGATAAGGGAATTATATCGATTCATCGTGAACATATCCAGATCAGGTTTCTTGGTAAAAACCATGTCTAAACCTTGGCCTATATTTGTCTTGAATGTGATCTGTTGAAATACTTTCATATATAATTGTTCGATTAAAAAGGAAAAAAGTAGTTTACATAATGTGCGATTGGCAAGAATATATAGTATGTCTTTACTCACATCGTAGAATGTTTCTAATAGATTAATGTAATAATCTTTCCCTTTGAAGTATTTTTTAATTAGATAAAACGTAGCACACTCCAACAATAAACCATCATTAATTGCCGCTAGGTCTATATCATTATGTCGATACCAACATAGTTTGCCTCGGCGAAGTAAGGATTGGTCCTGTATATCGTCGATCACGAGAAAAAAGGCTTGCAACTGTGTAGCAATAAATGTCTTAATATTATAAATCAATCGTAATCGCAACATTTAATATTTTTAATTAAGATCATTTGTTCTTGTATAAAACATAGTACACTGCCTCTTTAATTTGAAGGTATAATATAAATTAAAATCTTAACTATATCTTGCATTAGATTCATTCGAATTAAAATTCATGAAACATATCGAGTCACAAAAAAAAAGAAGAACAGAATTACCAATTCCAGACACCATGCCAGAATTCGCAAGACGAATATTTTCTTTTGTAAGTTGATCACTTGGTGCTAGTAATTTGTAGGCATAATTTAACGTAAAAGCATACATTTTGTTTCCTTCTGGAACATTATTCTGTAATACCTGCATAAAGAAACATCAATCTATATATTTTTTAAATCCATGGTTTATTGTTTCATATGTATCAAAACTTACAGGTTTTTTGAACTATTGGAAACTCAAGGTTTTTTTTTGTTTTTTATAAACCCTAAAATTAGTTCTATTTATTTAGACATTTTTCTTTAAGTTTAATTGATACGTTTATTATTAAATTTTGATGATGATTTATTTTTACAAATGTTGTACTATTCGAGACAAGAAGAGAGAGAGAGAGAGAGAGAGAGTGAGAGAGAGAGAGAGAGAGAGAGAGAGAGAGAGAGAGGGAGAGAATTTATATTTACGATTATAAAATTATTGCATTATTTTGCATTACTTCTACATATAATTATCCTAAAGGAATTTATCCTAAGATGAATCGATCAATCCATTGAACGAATTTTAACGTATCTCACACACATGTAACACACACACATACACATCCCACGTTGGCTATAATATTTATAATATTTTTTGTTTGACCATATTTATATAATATTTTAATCAATGATTTAACCTACTTTTTCCATCCATTTAGCAACATCCGGAAAGTTAGAATTCTCAATCTCTTTCATGATATTACGAACAATGTCCGGCCACATTGCCATCATCGATTGACTTTCCTCCTCGCTGATGGCTGCCCATGTCGATTTGGATTGATCCATTATAATAAAACGTTCTAAAGTTTTAACAAACGTTAAGAATGACAAATGATTCCATTATGTCAGGAATAAAATTTGATAAATCACATGCAAAAAAACGATGAAAAAAAAAGAATAAAAATTTCCTTCGTTAAATTTATATTTTTATGTCTTTTATATTAAACACTGTATATCTTATTACTTCGTTAGATCAAAGTATAAAGTGGAAAGAAAGATGCGAGAAGAGAACTAAAGAGAAATTATTCTTTGCTTAGACATATATATCCTTGAATAGCGATACATATGTATGTTCTTTTTATGATCAATGAAGCGATTTACACATATGATTGTTATATGTAAATGTCGAAAGATTTTTTTTAATTTACGTAATAGATTGTCATATTTTGTATGTTTTCTTATGAAAAAAATAAGTACCCATACAGCACCGAAAGTTTTCCCAATATGTTGCTCCAAGGCTATCACTCGGGCTATCATAAATAAAAGATGAGCACGAAAAAAATACGTCGGTATTTATTAAAGTTTCCACAATATGTACAATTTATTTTATATTTTTTATATAATATTTTTATGCTATTTAAACACGAGCCTTGCACTCATACACGAGCCTTGCACTCATACACGAGCCTGCTTTTCTACGAACTTGCTAAAAATTTGTAGCTTTCACACTACGACATTTCTGCGAAATGCTTTTTGTCCTCGGACGTAGATTAAAATTGTAAGAATTGTGGATGGTATCTTCTCCGTTTCGGCCGGGTTTCTTCGGGTCAGATGCTCGTGTAACCAGTGGCTGCACCGACATTTGTCGTAATTATTAAAGGAAAAAATCGCGCAAGATGTCGACGGGATACTTTTCTGACCGTTTCTCCGACACTTTTCTCATCTTTTTCCATGAAACATGTGAATCGATCGTAGGAAGGTTTGCGACAATTGTGACGGTCTACAAATCGAGCTTGAATCGCATGGATGACACCAGCGTGTTTATAAATCGGCTTTCGTACTCGAGTGGTCCGTGATGCCATTCAATCCGGAAATTTCATATGACCTAAATAAAACAAAAACGTCTTCAGCATATTCCTTTCGCAGTTTGTATCGTACGCGACCGGAAGAGTGATATGCAAGCGTC